ACATGCTGTCGCCTCTCCCTGTCTTTTTTACAAATACTTTCCTGGTAATTGCTCTAATGAGCTGCTTTCGCTGGTTCCCAGGCTTCATGAATTCAAGCATCATACGAGGCTGACATCCCACTCTCACCCTTTCACTGTTGAAACTGTTAAATGTAGCCGTCTCTTCAACTCCAATAGCTTCATATCTCGCACCTCTCGCCTGTGGAACTCCCTTCCTTTTTACTGGTTCCCTGATAGCTATAATCTCTAACTATTCAAATGTAATGTCAATAGACATTTCCAGTTGCCTTGATCTATCCACTATCCTTCTCTTCATTTTTTCCTCTATCACTCCTATCTGCTCTCGCCACAAATCCTCTGTAACCCCTTGCGTGCTCGTGGCTTCCAGCCTTGCTTGGGGTGAAATGCTTATAAAAAAAATTAAAATAGTACATAAATACTTGAAAGAACGATAGTGGTTACTGAACTTGGGAAACCTATTTTCCTGAAAAATTGTTTCATGAAAAAGATTTTAGAAATTTTAACAGACTGATTATTCGCCCAATAAATACTGAATCTTTGCTTATAAGAAACTAATTACCATTAGTGATAAGTAAAACAGATACTACAATTTGATCGCAGTCCGATGGTCAGAGAGTGAAGAAATGTTTAAATCGAGCAGCACTACCATTACCCTATCAAACGGGCCTTGTGTCAGATTCTACCACCGTGGGGAGGTGAGTAAAAACTGACATTCAGATTAATCACATAATCACTGCCCATGACGTATATTTTCGTTGTCTTTGAATAAACTAAGAAATAAATTTTCTACACTTCTGGTCATCTGAAACTTTCAGAGTTTATATGACCCTATTTCATTCACAATCTATAAAGATATGAACGGCATTTAGAAACGTCCCTCGCACAGACGAAATATCTGACTGTCAATGTCAAGAGAGAGAGAGAGAGAGAGAGAGAAAGAACAGTTTATAGAGAGAAGAGGTTACAGTAATAAGGCGTTCTCGTGTTGCCTTTTTTTAATCACGTGATCGTCTCTAGTTGAGCCTGTAAAAGTGTTGAATGAGTGGGCGGTATAGATTTACTCCTTGAAAACCTGGAAATAAATAAAAGTGAAGGGTCATCAGGTCGAGTCAAAGGGAATGATTTCAGATTAGGCGTTGCGAAGAGAGACGAGTAAAACTTGCCATTCTCAGTGATTGGGTATTTGTTTACCATTCAGAAAGTAACATGCTGTTGACATATTTGTCTAGTTGAAAAGTTCCTAATACCAATACGACATCCAGTAAGAATTGGGGGTGGTTTCATTCGATTTGATGTGGAGGAAATCGGAGTCAACCTTTTTTTCTTTTTCTTTTCTTTTTTTTTTCTTTCAGGAATAAACTTAATGATCTGAAAATGGTGGGGTTATTTGAAACATTTAAATGTTATTTCGTTTGTCTCAGCTGATATACGTTAAACTGTTTATAAGTTATTTAAATTCTTTTAAATAGAGTTTGTTTCTGCCATTAAGTACTCCAAAGAAAACTTTTACATGTTCCTTTTTCTTTTTTCCGTTCATTTTTTAAACGTCATCTCTTTTCAGGGCAGATGTTAACATGCCTCTGTAAAAATTTTATTCTTTATTATATGTGAACTGCCATATATTCTTGGGAAATATAGTGGAGTGGTTTTCCGTTGCCTTCTCTACGGTTGGGAATTCAAAGTTTTCTTTCTTTAAGACTGGATGCCGAGTTAAAACTTGTAATGAATTTTTAACATAACCCTACGTACGTAAGGGAACATGGCTCTCCATTATTTCCTTATATCTGTGAATTGGCATGATTTATTGAGAAGGATACTTGATAGTTTCCATTGAATAATCTACGGTTTTGAATTCAGTTTTCTTTCTCCTCGAATGACTAACAACCGAAGCTAGAGATACCAATCTAATCTGCTATTCAACCCATAGGTGGAGACTGGAGAAAAAACTGAATAGTGCCTTAATCAAAGGCATCTGAGCGAAAATGGACTTAACAAGCTACCCTGGAATTTAAACTCTGCTCGCCTATTCCAATTAGGATATTCATTACACTCTTATACGCTCGCCTTCCACCTGGCTTTACTCACTGTCATTCCTCTCTCTCTCTCTCTCTCTCTCTCTCATATATATATATATATATATATATATATATATATATATATATATGTGTGTGTGTGTGTGTGTGTGTGTGTGTATTTAGGCAGCCATCCTTCTTTCATGCACATTTCATTGAATATGAGTCAAGGTGCTTTTATTTAGTTTTTTATACAATTTCTTATGCGATCTAATAATTTTTTTTTCTTTTCGGATGATAAATTATATAAAATTGTCCGAATGTTCTTTTATCCGAGCGCTTTTGACTATACATTTAGCCATTAAATATATATATATATATATATATATATATATATATATATATATATATATATATATATATATATATATCCAGTATTAAATTGGAATTCCTCTTAAAGGAACTTATCGCCTACTTTGTCTTAAAATCTGGGAAAAATAGTTTGATTACAGAAAACAGTTCAACTCAATTCTTGGAGATTGCTGATAGAAATGCTTATTGAGGTTCAAATAACGAAGTAATCGTCTTTATTTCACGATGCGTGCTTTGAAGTCTGCTAAAAGATAAATTTGGGGTTTTCCTCTAAATAATATTACTACAAAACAACCTGCAAATACGTGTATATATATCTGCATATCTGTTCTGGTCCAAGGGGATATATTTTTGGACATAGAACAAATTGAATTTCTCAACATTAACCACACTCTCTCGTCTTTCGCTAACATTGTAACGTATCAGCGAGCAAAGTCGTAGATTATGAAACACAAACCATGGTCTGCCAATACCGTCTTCAAGATCATAGGAATGATGTGAATTCGCTCGTATATACAGAGAATTTTTTTTATTTGACAACGCCTTCACTGTTTATTCACTGAAACCAGAGAAAACAAGAAAGAAAGAATTAAATTTAATTTGCTTTTGTCTTCCTTTTTTTATTATCGTGTGAAGTGTCATGACGGTTACCAGCCAAGTCGATGGAATTGCACGAATGCCTTGGAAAATAAGCGCCAGGTTTGTAGGGAAAAATCTATCAACACTTTACACATACTTAATATAATACAGTATCAGAAACTATATTGATATTTAATATAATGATATATAAGGAATGAGTTAAAATATTAGATTGAGTCATAAGGTAATTTACGTTTTTGGAAACCAATTGTAATAATGAATGTATCATGCTAATTAATTAATACGTGATAGTTAAGAATAAATTTGATGCTCACTATAGAAAGAGGCACAGTAGAGAAATGGATTGCGGCTCGGATTAAGAAATCGGAGAACCGCGTTCGAATTTAAGTCGAGTTCATTGAATTCATTTACGTGCTAATACCCCTGGGAATTATATGTATCCAAGTTTTCTTTCCTCAACTCTGTATAAATAGTATAACAGACTTGGTTCTATAACCTTGGGATCCTTCTTAATGCTATGGGTAAATAGTTGACTTGGGTGGCAAGCAGTTTAGGAAAAGGAACAATATTCTGAATTCAAACATGTATGCAACCCAGGCGAAGCTATGAAGCTAAAGAAATGATCATTTGCATTGACTCGATGATCTTTACTACGGTCGACGCTAACATGTGATTTTTGCACGGCAGTGGCAGCGTACACCGTGGATTAAAGAACAAATGCTGTTCTTCTTCATGACAACACAAGACCGCTTAAAACAAGAATAACACAGGAAAAAAAAATTAATTTGCTTTTTCTGTTCTACCCCCACCCAACATATTCAACTAACCTTGAACAAATCGATCATTACCTTTTTCAATCACCGCAAAACGCTCTAGTAGTGGGGGGGGGGGGTTCTCTAATGAAAACAGATGCAAGACTTCGTCTCAAACGTTTTCACATCAAAACCTAGGAAATTTTTCACAAAATTTATCGAAGAAAAAACATGATAAGTGGTAACAAATGGTGCAAATAATGACGAATATATAATTGAAAGACATATAATTGTACTTTATTTTCTGGAGAATAAAGTTGATAGATAAAAACGCAAATTATTTATGAGACAACCTAATAAAAATAAATTAAAAGTAGTAATTAAAAAATATCTGCTATAAACATTATCATCCTTAATAATGTTGTTTACACGTATGATTCCGTCCAAACATCATTCTGTTCGTTTTATTTATCTTCAAAATGTGAAATGGTTTTTATAGATACGCAAACCATATGCGAAAAGTGAAGCTTCATTTATTTTAAAAGAGAAAGGACGCTTAGATGAGGAATAAAGAATTTGTTTTACTTATGTTGTAAGAGGTTTCGACTGCCTTGGATTCAAAGGGCAGTTTTATTTATTCTATGAAGGAAAAGGAGTGACATTCCGCTTGCTAGTAAAGAAAGGCTTTAATTATCTTATATGCAAAAGGAAGGATACTTCATTCGTTATGAAAATATAAACGCAGGATTCAGTTCTTTTCTTAGAAAATGGAGGAGATTTCTTTCATTAAAAAAAAAACTTCGTTCATTATTGTGAGATGATGAAAATTTCATTTATGTTTCCGGTAATGGTGACTTTATTTCGCTCTTATAACAACGTTTCGTTTCGCTGCCAGAGGTTCATCTTTTTTATGTGCCGTGTTCCATAGCTCTCCACAACCTCGTATCCATTGCAGCTCTAAGCAAGGTTTATCCTCTTACTATCCTACCCAGTCCCTGTTCCCTCATCTATTTACTCAAAAGCGTTAGGCAGGTTACACGATATTTCTCTTTGCCGCTCTTGCCTTTAACATGTCCTCTAAGTGCTCAATTATCCAGGCCATATTTCTTCATTATGTTGTCCAGAAATTTCAAATGTTTCTTTCTGGTTCTTTTTGTTATCGTTTGCCTTAAAAATTCCTCGTTGCTCGCATGTTCTTTCCATGTTATTTCCCAACATCCTTCTGCAGAACGTTGAAACACCGATTCCTGTACGATCACCGATTCCTGTACGATCACCGAAGTTAAGCAACATCGAGCCTTTTCATTACCTAATTGGGTGACCGCTTAGGAATAACAGGTGTTGTAGGCATGGATGTGCGGGTGGTGTAATGGATAATGGCTCGGAATTATTAATCGGAGAGCCGAGTTCCAATTCCAGTTGGGTTCGTTATATTCACTTACGCGCAAACACTCTTGGGAAAGGTATGAATCTACTTCTATACTTACTGCCCACCTATGGGTTAATATCACTAAATCATTATTATCTAAACAAAATTCTTACAATGTAAAAATATTTTCTTGCTTTCAGTTCAGTTATGTGCCATGCATGATACACGCTTAGGCGATCATGTATCTTTCGATACATGACTGACGAGGCAGATTTTTTTTTACCACAGTAGGTTGCCATTTCTTTCTGTGGTGGACCAGTTGCCATCCAAGACTATAAAACCCGACCTATCCTGCTATTTACCCATAGCTGGGGTGAAGAAGCGGATTTATACTTTTCCCAAGGGTATTAGCAGGTAAGTGAATGTAATGGATTCGAATGGAATTTTATGAAATAACCTGTAAATGGTTGATTAACCGTAGAAAGCAAATCAATCTTCTGTAGAACGGCATCTCTATTGTCTCATGACTCCTCTTTTTTGTTTGGTTTTCTAACAAATTTTTCCTGTTTCCTAATACTTTCCTTAGATGTTGGAAAGCATCTTGCGCTATTACAATTCGCCTTCAAATTTCTGTCATATTTTCGTTGTTTATTAGTATACTTCCCACATGAGTAATTTATATACTTGTTTGATGCTGACGTTTTGAATTCGCAGCTTCTAGTTTGGGTTTTTCCTCCGACTAACGACTATCCATTCTGTTTTCTTACGACTGAGGTTTAGTCCTTTCTTCCCACTTTCCTTTACTACTTTGTCAAGGAGTTCCTTTACTTTTTTCAGCAACAGGTAGCTAAAACTGAGTCCCATAATAATGCATTTTTGTAGGACTCTTACGTCCGCCTCACTCACGGTAAATGATAAATAAAAGACGCAGACTTGTCTTACGCCCCTTTCTATTTTTGTGTACATACTCAATTCTTTTTCTATCCGTTTGCAAGGGTTTTGCTCCCAGGAAAATTCCAGATTATTCTAATATCTTTCTGTTGTAGCATACCTACGGACGATAATGGGGTGCCACCATTCCCATAAATACAGTTAGTAAATACTGTATGTTGGTCGACAGTTCATTGTGGAATTCACTTGACTCACTTCTAGCAGTTGACTACTTCTTCTACGCGCCGCTGGCTAATCTTATGTATGTTGTTCTTGTCCTAAGTATTATCGATCATTATCAATCTTCGTGCGATTATTCAATTCAGTAACCTTCCCTAAGTTACAAAACTTTCTCAAATATATCAAGTTTTCCGATCAGTTTAATTTTTTTACTACTGTTCACCTTATACAAATCTGAAAGGCCACTCAAGGTAGAGAGTTACTGAATGAAATTGTTGTAATGGCGTAAGAGAAGAGAAGAGGAAAGAGGAAGAGACGCATGTTATCAGGATATGCAGGATAGATAACGACTGCCCCTCGACTTGAAGATTGTAGCAAGAAGGAAAATATCCTCCTCGGGAGTCCTTTCCATATTTCGACAATTCTGTGGAAGAAGCAATCTGATTGGAACTTCCTCCTTACTAATGGAATATAAAGGGAATGAGGATGAGTTAGCCCAGTGTATGTGGCATGGTGGGTCCTAGCTGGGAAGGTCTGAAGTGGTGGAACCAAGGAATGTAGTTTACCCAAATATCTGTTATGAAAATAGCGATAGAGGAGTGATAGGGTAGATAGCGTAGTAAGAAACGACGGAAAATATGACACAAAGATCCGAAAGTGCACTGGAGTGGCGAAAGATGCCTTCCAGAAACTAAGTAATGTATTAAGAAATAGGGAAATTTTGATAGAAGCAAAGAAAAGAATACTAAACTCCCGTGCCATATCTATCTCCTTATATGTCAGTAAATGATTACGGATGAAGAAAAGGCACAAAACTACAGAGATTTGGTTGTAGAAACGAAGGCAAAGAATACCTTGGAGGGGACATGTGAGCAAGAAGTAAAAAAATGCAAAAAGAGCATGTGAGCAATGAAGAAGTAAAAAAATGAAAAGGGTACATGTGAGCAACGAAGAAGTGGGAAAAATGCAAAATTGCACATGTGAACGAACGAAGAAGTGGGAAAAAATGCAAAGGGTACATGAGCAACGAAGAAGGGGAAAAATGCAAAGGGTACATGTGAGCAACGAAGAAGTGGGAAAAAATGCAAAGGGTACATGTGAGCAACGAAGAAGTGGGAAAAAATGCAAAGGGTACATGTGAGCAACGAAGAAGTGGGAAAAAATGCAAAGGGGACATGTGAGCAACGAAGAAGTGGGGAAAATGCAAAGGGTACATGTGAGCAACGAAGAAGTGGGAAAAATGCAAATGGTACATGTGAGCAACGAAGAAGTGGGAAAAAATGCAAAGGGTACATGTGAGCAACGAAGAAGTGGGAAAAAATGCAAAGGGGACATGTGAGCAACGAAGAAGTGGGGAAAAATGCAAAGGGTACATGTGAGCAACGAAGAAGTGGGAAAAAATGCAAAGGGTACATGTGAGCAACGAAGAAGTGGAAAATGCAAAAAGGGTACATGGAGCAACGAAGAAGTGGGAAAAAATGCAAAGGGTACATGTGAGCAACGAAGAAGTGGGGAAAATGCAAAGGGTACATGTGAGCAACGAAGAAGTGGAAAAAAAATGCAAAGGGTACATGTGAGCAACGAAGAAGTGGGAAAAATGCAAAGGGTACATGTGAGCAACGAAGAAGTGGGAAAAATGCAAAGGGGACATGTGGAGCAACGAAGAAGTGGGGAAAAATGCAAAGGGTACATGTGAGCAACGAAGAAGTGGGAAAAATGCAAAGGGTACATGTGAGCAACGAAGAAGTGGGGAAAATGCAAAGGGTACATGAGCAACGAAGAAGTTGGAAAAAATGCAAAGGGTACATGTAAAGCAACGAAGAAGTGGAAAAAATGCAAAGGTTACATATGAGCAACGAAGAAGTGGGAAAAATGCAAAGGGGACATGTGAGCAACGAAGAAGTGGGAAAAATGCAAAGGGTACATGTGAGCAACGAAGAAGTGGGGAAAAATGCAAAAGGTACATGTGAGCAACGAAGAAGTGGGAAAAAATGCAAAGAGTACATGTGAGCAACGAAATAGTAGAAAAATGCAAAGAGTACATGTGAGCAACTGAGATGTAAAAAAAATGCAAATGGGACATGTGAGCAACGAAGAAGTGAAAAAAAATACAAAGGGGGCATGTGAGCAACGAAGAGGTAGAAAATGCAAAGGGTACATGTGAGCAATGATGAAGTAAAAAAAATGTAAACTGAAATAAATTTACTTGAACATTTGAAAATGTTAGAAGCAATTGTGAGGAAAGACAGTTTGGAAAATTTGACGCTTACAAGATATCTTGAAGATAAGAAGAACAGATCAAACCTACATAACCTAGATTAACCTACATAATAAACTTGTGTGAATGAATTGACAGAACGGAGACAAGAGTGATGGCAAAGAGTCAAATGTTGCTTCGAGCTACAATGGACAGGAAGTTGTGGAGAACTGTGGTCGCTCACGTCATGAAGTGACACGGCACATAAAAGAAGAAGAATGTATTTTGCAACAATGTATGCGTTGCTGTGAATTAATCATTAACATCACATTTAGTCAGCTTAAATTACTCTGGTAGGAGCTTAATACTGAAACATCCAAAAATGTGTTTAAAACAGAAATTTATCAGATTTTCTTTTTGCTGTCATCTAAACGTAATAAATACAATTATTCGTTCGATTAAACTGACTGTGTTGTGTGATGAGTTTGATTCCTACTGTTGGATTTATAAATGCAATCTGTCCGTCATTTTCTTTTTTCTTTGCCCTGTCCCCTCAGGACGTAGGCGTTCATGGCTCACCCCAATTTCTTGTCTTTTGGAGCTATTAGCAAATTTTTCTTTTTGGTATTTCTCCTAAACCCTGTTCCGCCATTTGTATAAAAATGGGATATATGCGCAACGCTGATCATGTCACTTTACTTCTAAACAGGCCAAAATTTATATTAAAATTTAAAAGATTGTTTTTGATTATTTCATTTTCAACATCAGTTTTACTGGTTGAGAAACACGGTTGCAAAGTTTTACCTACGTCGTTAATAGTCAGTTTTTGCAGTTTCATAATTTCTATATAGTAATTGTCCTGATGAACTTTCCTCTATAGTGCTTAGACCTTATGAATTTAAGCGCAGAACTAGATTGACGATAAGGTCTCACCATTTTACAGTTAAAATAGCTAGATGTAACCGTAAGTTCTATGCTAACAGTCTCTTCTATCGTACTTCTCACTTGTGGAACTCTCTTCCAGGTTCTTGCTTCCGAGATAACTTGGATCTTCAAAAAATCTAAATTCAATGTCAATCGTTATCTTCTGTCTTCTTAATTCTTGTTCTTTTTTTTTTTGTTCTCTCCTGTTAGTAGTGTTTTATTTTCAATATTATCTAACCTTGCGTCTTAGTGGCTTTATTGCCTTGCAACGATTAAAAAAAATGGAAAGTAGTTGTTCACTAATATAATTGTAAAATCTTATTTACCACACTCGGCTTCCCCTACCACAAACAGGTGGCGTCTTTTGATAGACTGTTCATCATGACTTTTATATGGATTCGTAATCTTTTCGGATGAGTGAAAGTTAATTGCTGTGAAATATTTATAGTTAATCCTGATTCTCACTGACTGTTGCAGCGATTTTTCAACGAATGTCAATGGCATCTTGTTGATGCAGGGTGTCTATCGTGGAGTAATTCCTTGGAAATTAATCTCGCAAGCCATATATCGTCAGTTCAGTTGTGTATACCAGTGATTCAAATTTGATCCGGAGACAACCTGGCTTAGACATTTGAGGGCCTGCCATAAATGTTCAGTTGTGCACGCCAGTAATTAAAATTTGAGCCGGAGACAACCTGGCTTAGATATTAGAGCGCCTGCCATAAATGTTCAGTTGTGCATGCCAGTGATTCAAATTTGAACTGGTTAAAGCCAGGCTTAGACATTACAGCGCCTACCATAAATGTTTCATCAACGTTTCGCTTTGTCTCTTTTTACTGGGTGCATCGTTATTTTGGCTCAAGGCCAAACCAAACGATGTTTTTTGATTGATTTGTTTTTTACGTTTTATCAACCCTTTGTAGATTATTTAAAGCCGAAATATATTGCTGATTGAATCAGCCGTTTACAGTACCCGGTGTTTCCAAGCAGTGCCCCATCTAAGTACTGACCGGGCTCGACACTGCTTAACTTCGTTGAAATCCCTTCAGTGTTTAATTATTTTTAGGGTGTTCAGTAACAAGCGGTTTTCGCAAGTTTGATCCTCAACTTCTTCTTTAAAAATAAGGCCTTTTGCCAAATTGTGGTAAGTTTTGTAAATACCTACGTTTGTCATTAACAATATATCCCCTGCTACCTCAGGACGATCACGGCTCTTCATGGTCCTGAACAGTTTAAAATTCTAGAGACAACCTTGTCTACCCTGCTATTTATCCTGATTCCAATTTCGGTGACAATAACACTTACGCTATCCGCACAACACATTCTTCCCTACTAATAATTGATTCTTAGTTTGTCTCCGTTTTATTATTTTTGTTTTCTATCGCATAATACATAACGAATTTTGAAACACCGTGAATATATATATTCATTAATCTTTCATTATTTTATCAGTTTGCTACAGCTTATTATTACAACGTTTTATTGGTGTACTGTGACCCGAAACGATCTTCATTATTACTGTTATTTTATTGTTAGTTTTAATCCTTGTCATTCCAATTGTTTTTATCCCTACAAATAAGATCCATACTTTCTTCATTATTATTTTTATTTTTAATAATTTCACCCCAATCAACGTGGACATTCCACTAGTAGGCAGGGGTTGCATGGAGTGAAAGTTAAAGAAAAGACTGAATATTGGAAGGATTGAGAAAAAGACAAAAGTTGAACGGGATTCAAGAAGATCGAAGACGGTGACTGACGTTGCATTTAAATTTTTGAAGATTGTAGTTATCAGGGAAGCAAGTAAACGGTTCCAAGTGTTCCAAGGGCAGGAAGCACGGGAAAATAAACTTTTGGAAGATGTGGCATTTGCATTAAGCTTTTTCAACAGTAAACGAGTGAGACCTAGATGCCAGTCTAGTGGCACACTTTTGTAGAAAAGACCTGCGGGAAGCCACACCAATTTGGTGAGAAAGCGACTGAAGTCTAGATGCAAAATCAGGATGCATTACGTTGCAGATCCTTCTTTGGATTTTTGAAGAACCTTGAGATAAAAGGCCGGAGACCCACACCAGATATGGCAGCAGTATTGAATGCTCGGACGAATGGTACATATGTAAATATGCAAGATGTACTCTGACTATTCATTTATTACTATGTTTGCTCT